TAACTGATTGGTTCAAAATTGGGAAAGGAGTATGACAAGGCTGCATATTGTTTCCCTGCTTATTTAACTTATATGCAGAATTCATCATGCGAAAGGCTGTACTAGATGAATCCCAAGCCAGAATTAAGATTGCCAGAAGAAATATCAACAACCTCAGATATGCTGATGATACAACCTTGATGGCAGAAAGTGAGGAGGAATTAAAGAACCTTTTAATGAGGGTGAAAGAGGAGAGCGCAAAATATGGTCTGAAGCGCAACATCAAAAAAACCAAGATCATGGCCACTGGACCCATCACCTCCTGGCAAATAGAAGGGGAAGAAATGGAGGCAGTGAGAGATTTTACTTTCTTGGGTTCCATGATCACTGCAGATGGTGACAGCAGTCACAAAATTAAAAGACGCCTGCTTCTTGGGAGGAAAGCAATGACATTTTAAAAAGCAGAGACATCACCTTGCCAACAAAGCTCCGTATAGTTAAAGCCATGGTTTTCCCAGTAGTGATGTATGGAAGTGAGAGTGGGACCATAAAGAAGGCTGATCGCTGAAGAATTGATGCTTTTGAATTCTGGTGCTGGAAGAAACTCTTGAGAGTCCCATGGACTGCAAGAAGATCAAACCGATCCATTCTTAAGGAAATCAGCCCTGAGTGCTCACTGGAAGGACAGATCGTGAAGCTGAGGCTCCAATACTTTGGCCACCTCATGAGAAGAGAAGACTCCCTGGAAAAGACCCTGATGTTGGGAAAGATTGAGGGCACAAGGAGAAGGGGACGACAGAGGACGAAATGGTTGGACTGTGTTCTTGAAGCTAGCAACATGAGTTTGACGAAACTGCAAGAGGCAGTGGAAGACAGGAGTGTCTGGCGTGCTCTGGTCCATGGGGTCACGAAGAATCGGACACGACTAAACGACTAAACAACAACAACAATTACTTACAGTTTTCTTCAATGCTGAATAATTTACTGCTTCTAATGTCTGCAGTATCTAACGTTTTCACATAATAATTACTTATCCACCTATTCTATCTACACATTTGTGCATGTATAGATTTCTCTCTCTCCCTTTCATGTGTCATTAGGAGCAATCCAGTCTCTTTACTTAGAAAAAAAGACACTCAAGATCTTGTGAGATCGGTACAATAGAAAACTCCTCCAGAGTTGTATAGCTTTGCTATGGCATCTGTATTTACCAAATCCAAACAAACAAAAAATATTCCACAAACCATGAGTATTATGTGAAGTTGTTAGAACAGTTGAGAATCAACTCTCAATACATGCATTCCTATCCTTTCTTCCTTTAAATTATATAAGCACCTCCAACTGCATCCATTCCCATGAGGATTTGTAACCTGAATAATCTGGTACCTCTGCAAAACACCACAAAATAAACTCCTACTTTATTTTATCGTTGATCTGCTTTATTTTCTATAAAATTTATAACCCACATTTTGAAGAAGTTCCTCCAAAAGAAAAGCTTCTGCATGTTCACACATATAGAAGATCATGAAACTGTTGTCCTAGAAGCTACTGAGGTATTTGGCAAAAGTTAAGCAAAATTGCTGCACATGATGTATACCACAAATTTCCATTGCTTTCTATAACTGCTTTATGCATTCAAGCAGGATGTACCTAAGATTTCACTTGAGTGTTCACGCCTAAACACCTGATTGAAATTTGTAATTTAAATTAGAAGATTATTTAAGGGATGAGGATGTTTTTGTTTTTTCAAGGACCAACAGTTACTCATCAGTAAATCAAAATTCTGTTTTCATGAGTTTAAGACAGAACTGTAGCATGTGATCAGCATAAATCTTTGTGACATAGCAAAATATAATTTAAAGGAAACATTGAGTGACTTTTTTGAGAAAGGGTTGTTTCAATGTCTGGACAGTTCAGCTGAAGGAAACAGATGGAGGGGGGACACAGTGTCTCCAACAGCATGCTATTATTGCTTTGTGCAGTTATAAATTTTTGCAAATATCTGGATCCAGTCATGGCTAGTCAGTGATGCTGGCAAGGATGGATCATTGGTTCGACTTGTTCTGATTGCTTTTCCAGAAAGTACAGAACATTTGGCTGTACAAAGAAGCAATCCACGTGAACGTGAATAGGCAGAGACCATCCAATGAAATGCAATTGACCTCCATGAAATTCATTGTAAAACTGCAGTTTTAAAACCTTTCACCGAAGCTCTGTTTCTTTCAACTTTTTAAAATCAATGTGAAAGTGAAAGGTGATTAAATTTAGGAATTTTACTAATCACATTTTAAAGCTTTCTGCATTTGCAGTCATCACCATTACTTGTGGCTGCAAAGAAATACTTCCTTTTGTTTCTCTAGAATATCTCACAAGAAGTTTTAGAAATGTATGGAATGCTTGATTAAATTAAAATGGGTGCAGACAGGGGGTAAAACCTTCTCCCTTAACTCAAACCCTCATATGAATGCTTTTGATTTCAGAGGGTTTATAATACATGTTACTATTTCCCATTTTGTGTTAAATTGCAACATGAGTCACATGGGTGTGGGTGGTGTCTTACTTCCAGCATGATGCTACTATTATTTCAATGAGCAGGCTTTTTTAATTTTATTTATTTATTTATTTATTTACGGCTATTAGCCCATAAACAATGAGCAGGCTAACATCATGTTCACTTTGCATTAAAGTGGATGTTAATAGCATACTCTTCTTGATGCTAAGGAACTTTTATTGATTGCCATGCACCATGGAACTTACACCAATATCTACATGGATTAGGCACCAATTTTTAATTCCCTGCACCACCCATCAGAGCCATTGATCAGTAAAAGAGTTGAAGGCAATTCAAGATGAGTTAATAACACCAGAGACTAAAATCCCCCTGGTCCTAGAAACCAGCTGATTCTAGAGAGTCATTTCTGAATCACAGCATATTATATAGAAAGGTATCCTGCATTTCCTCACTCTGGGCAACTGGTGGTTGACAAACTAGACTCCTCGGTGGCTTCAGTTGGTCAGCGTGCTCAACCCCTGCTCTAGGTACTTGCACTGTCTCCAGCAATTGCCGCCTGAACTGTGGGTTTCTGTGCTCACTGAATGTACTGCAAAGACACATTAATGACCTCAGTACTAATCCATTAAGATCAAAGGGAGCATGTCCTTTTATTTCTATAGGGCGGGGACTGCATCTCTACAAATGTGAACAGCTTCCCACAAAGTCTAGCATTAGGGAGCAACATGGAACAACTGGATGGAATATGTTTCCTCATGTAATAAAAATTGTGTGCACGCGCATATATGACCATATGTACTTGATAAACTTCATTATAATTATATACAAATTCATGGTTCCTCTTTTTTAAATGCTCCACTGCAGAAATTCTGGACCATTAAGTGAAAATTCTGGACCATTAAATTATCTGTGAATTGAAAAGTCACTCTTGATATAGAAACAAACAAACCAATTAGCCTGTCATCCTTAGGCACTTTAAAGAAGAGCGAAGAGCCCCCATTAAATCAATGAGGTCCATCCTAAGGGTTCCAGCATTAAGGTATCCCCGCCCCCCAGTGAAACTCAACATGCCTTTTCTTGCTGCCAGAGTACTAACACCAAGAGAACAAAGGATCTGGTTAATGAAGCATCAAGAGGGCATATAAACTAATGCAAGAATTCGGAATTTATTCACATTATTGGGTTAAGGTTAACAACTGACATACGGTATCAGTGCAACACTACCAAATCTTTACATTATTTAAAAACCTGATAGAAGACAAATAGCTCTGGTTATTCAGAGGTGAAAGGCTATCTGGATATGGCACAATTTTTCTCAGGCAAAGAAGATTTATGAAACAGAGCTACTAGAAAACAATAATGAATAAGACCTTCCTTGTAGGTGTCCAGAACCCACAGTTCTGTTGGTGTCACATCTTGTTCATCACTTAAATTTGTCTACATTTATTTTTAGAAGGCAAAATAAATCTGCAGAAAACCAGAATATCTACAGAAAGAAAACAGATTCTGCAGCTATCACTGTTTAGACCTTAATGACATTCTCTAAACTATTTAACTCTGCTTAATTTGCATACTTTACACAATATCTGGCTGATGCCTTGGTTTTCTTTTTAAACCTTTGTCCAAGTTTTGAATTTTATCTAACAAGCTTAAATAAAATTAACACAAGCTACATACATCTGGCACTATTGTCATTTAATATAGCAAGACACAGAACATCTAGAAATTTAAAGCTATCTCTTATTACCATTATAAACTCCAGGTCAGCATTAGTCTCATTGGTAGATGTGAGCCAGTTATTATTTCCCACTTTTATTCTATTTACATTCAGAATTATACTAATTTCACACACAGGGCAATCACAATAACAAATCCATACTTATCCATACTTACCTTTTGCCTTGCTCTTTCCAGGCATAGGTCCACACTTAAAAGCTCCAGATTTGAGTGTGTGTGGTTTTTTGTTTTGTTTTTGCCCCAGAGCTTTCCCTGTGAAAACCTATTCTTTAGTGCTCAATCAGAGCAATCATCAATTTGGGTTTTCTACAGATTGCCATTTGAACTTTAAAGAGTGTGTTTTCATGGGGAGAGCTCCAGAAGGCCCCCCCCCCCGCAAGTGTTCAGACACGGAGCTTTAAAACACAGACAGTACCTGGAAAGAGTGGAGTAAGAGTAAGTATGGAAAAGCCCTAAGATAAAGATTCTGCTTTTCACAAGTGTCTCTTGCCCTCCCCTAGGAATTCAGAATAGTGTATATGAGATTATCCCTCAAAATTATCTTGCAGTATGATTAGGCTGAGGGAAACTCACTTGTCCAAGCCCAAGACAGAATTAAACCCAGGTCTACTTAATTTCCAGATCCATTACTCCACGGTGCCGTTGACTAATATATTACTAGATGAAATACACATCACAAATGAAATGATAACTAATGGACCTCAGACAGGAGTTAACATGCATATTATTTAATGTGCAACATCAGAGGGCAATGAATTATACTAATACTTACAGTAGCATGTTCCCCTGAGTGGATTACCAAGGTATCTGTTTTCAGAGTCACAACTGTAGAAGAGAAAAGAAATAATCTGAACAATAACATAGCTAATTAAACATTTTTTGTATGAATGTAATATTTTGGCAATTAAACTTACATAAGAATTTATTTAATTTTCCCCAGAAAATAAAGTGTGTTTTTTGTTATTATTTATTCCATCTATAGCGGCAGACGGGGCTCATCAACCTGACAAGGTAGTCCATCTAGCAGAAGAAAAACTCTTGAGAGATACCTTCAGAAGAAGAAAAGGCTAAAGAGTAAACCCTATACAAATCTAGAGTGGAATCCTTAAGATGGTTGGATGGTGCCTTGTCTGCCTCCTTCCAGCAACTCCTACAGACAAGGTGATGCCAAAAGTAGTGCTCTGCTTTCCTTTGGACCACATCAATAAGGCTGAGAGGGGGTCTTATTTTGTCATCTGGGCAGCTCCAGGACCTCCATACACACTGCCCAGGCTTGTGCCCTGGGGAGGTCACTTTGGTGCTGCTAATGCAATAGTTTGACTTCACCCCTGTAGGTGCACTCCATTGTCTCTCGAGACAGATGGATGTTAACAATTCATTTATATTCTGTCTTTCCTCCAAGGAGTGGAGCTTAAGTCGACATCCTTGCTTCTCACCCCTCTCCCCTTGAGGACTCACTCACAGCAACCCCTCCCCAGTGAACAGGGCCCAAACAGAAACACTGACTGGTGGGAAAGTCTGCCCACCAAAGTGGCCGGCTTGGGGAATCCCCCAACTGTTGGCCAACTGTCCAATGTTGCTCCCTGTGCCACGCTGCAACCACTCCCCACCCCGTTACTGTATGGGGATTTGAACATAAGGACTCCTGCCACTAACTATTGCAGCACACTGGCTCTCGCAACATTCATCTAATAATGGTGATTTAAAAGCTATATAAGCAAATACAATAAAGAACTACAATAGTCATCCAGGCAGTATATAACAAAACCAGAAGCTAAAAGATCCCTCTCATGTAAGAAAGAATCTAGTAACTTGTACAGTGGTACCTCGGGTTACATACGCTAAAGGTTACATACGCTTCAGCTTACAGACTCCGCTAACCCAGAAATATTACCTCGGGTTAAGAACTTTGCTTCAGGATGAGAACAGAAATCGTGCAGCAGTGGTGCAGCGGCAGCAGGAGGCCCCATTAGCTAAAGTGGTGCTTCAGGTTAAGAACAGTTTCAGGTTAAGAACAGACCTCCAGAACGAATTAAGTTCTTAACCCGAGGTACTACTGTATTTCCTAATACAAAGCTGACTTTCCAGTTTAATTCAACTTCAGTACTCAAATACTGTCTTTTGACAAGAGGAGGGAAAAATGAAGAAAACATTTCATCTTAGCATCTGTCCTCGGAAAACTGATGGAAAGTATTGTTGAAGATAAAATAACTAAGCATACTGAAGAACAAGCCATGCTGAAGCAGAGCCACTGTAGATTTTGCAAGAGCCAGTCCTGTCTCACTATCCTATTAGAGTTCTTTGAAGCATATAGATACAGGGGATCTAGCTAACATAGCATACATGGACTTTAAAAAAGGCACCTCACTAAAGACTCCTGAGACAGCTTAGCAGTCATGGAATGAGAAGAAAGGTCCTCTTGTGGATCAGGAATTGACAGCACAAAACAGAGAGTAAGAATATAGAAAGCAGCTGAAAAAGCGTGGACGAGCCTTTAGGTACCACTGAAGCTGAAGCCCATCTGTTTGTGTCTTTGGGCAGGAAAGAGCTAAGCAAAAACATGCTTGCATTGCATATGCACAACCTCATGGCCGATGCAGGTATGGGTGCCTTGGCTTATCCCAAAGCTTTAGAAGCATCCCACACTTAGGTCTCCAAGAATATGGAAATGCATAGAGGTGGAAAGGTGAATTTATCTCTATTTTCATTATGTACCTCTGTGTTGTTCATCTTAATACTGTACATCCCCATCAAATACATAGTAGTTATTACACTCATGTTATTCTAAAAGTATGTGAAAGATTAGCATAGAATGATTTTATGTAATAGCACAAAATATATCATCAGCGACATTTTTAAAATACAACCTGAATCTTTATTCAGGGTTTTTGTTATATGTTTAACTATTCTGTCTTCTATATGTCTCAAACAGCTCATTTGTTTATCTTCAAGGTTTGAAAAGGCAGCATAAGAGTAAGTGAAGACTTCTATAGAATCAAAAAACCCCTAAATGAGCCCATTAGTGGGGCTATACTAGACTAAGAACTTTAAAGCCATTATACATCCTCCTTTACATTTCTTTACTTTGTAATGCCATCACCTATGATTAGAGTATACATATTTTATACAGCAAAATCAATTTGCTGGTAATAGCTCACTTTTCACTGCAACAATAAACTTCAGTTGCACCAATTTTTTATTTTGCTATCTTCAGCTGCAATACTTTAGCAACTGCAAATAATACATTATGTATTCCTTACATTTTGTTTGCAAAAATGAATGACAGATATTTGTTTTCATAGTTGTTTTGATAGTAGAATCTGCCACCATCTTTCAAACCTTTTTTTTCTTTTTTTGCAGAGATAACCCTCCCTCACCTCTGTTAAAAGATGAATATAAGCACAAACTAGTAGTCTCTCTACTTTTGCTTGCTTATATTGTGGAACTTCCATGATAGACAAGAATTGGTTTTGAAAATTTGTAGCTAGCAACAATATAGCACACAGAATATATTCTCAATATCACATTCATCATTCATTCATTCATTCATTCATTCCCAAGTGAGCAGGAATACAACTCTTTCATTGTGTACATATGCTAGGCATATTCACCTGGTATCATCATCATTATCCTTTAAATGTCAAGTTGGTCCTGTTTTTTTGAGTTTTCAAAAGCAATTAACTGATCTATTTGTTTATTTCTGCTCTTTTACACGTTGTCTTGTTTATTTAGGAAATTTGTAAAAGTCCTCAAAGAGGCTAACAAAATGCATATAAAATACAGTAAAATACTCTTGTCAAAATACCGTCAATAAAAAGCTGTTCAAATGGGTAGGAAATTGGCTCCAGAGCGAAATAATTAAACTCTGCCAGACGTTGTATTGTTGAGGTTGGGGACTGGCTATGCAGCTTTACTCACCTCCTAGACCGTGGCCACTAACTTACATTGCTACAGCACTTAGATTTTGATCTCACTGTCCAGACCACAGAGCACCTAGCCCTGACACTCTGTTACAGAGTTAGAAGAAAAGCTCTAAAAAATCCCAGCTGTGAAAGTGTACAGGTTCAGGGCTGTGGATAAGCATGTGGATAGGAAATTTAAAGACCAATTTCCCACACTGTGCTGTTGACCTGCAGCACTTCCTCTCCATCACCACTTCCCTGTCCAGTTAGCACTTTAAGGCAATATGGGGGTTGCCAGTTTCCTTGAGCTCGCAACTTGAATGTGACTAGTTATAGGTAGAAAATTAAACATATAGATCTGTGATCATTTGTCCTAAATGGCACTAATGAAATACTACTACTGCTTTGGCATGATACCAAAAAGCACATTTCCAAGGACAAATGCAACAGCATTTTTAAAATATTAACAAAATCTCTAGTTTGTTCCAATAATACCCAGTCTGTCAAACTCATTACCCTTCTGTTGACTGGCTATTAATAGTTATTCCTTAATATCTCTCTGGGTCCTTCTTGGGAGGTCAATAAATAGGCCAGAAGAAAACAAATTGATCCACATTTCATGCATACAAGGTGGTCACTATACCAACACCCTGTTTTATTTTCAACATATTTTCCATTTGGTTGGTTAAAGGACTGAGGCTTTTAACTACTCACTTGCATTTAGCATTGGAACATTATTTACTTGTAGTAACTTGTAGTAACTAAGGTAAAACAAGTAGTGAGATACTGTGAATTTAAACAGCGTAAATTGATGGGATTTGTCAAATAACAATGTTGTCATTTGACAAATAGGCAGAATGTATGTCTTCTGTTGACGGGTGTCAACAGAATTTAGAATGGATATCTTTATATCTATGTTGCAGAGATTATTTTTATTATTTTAAACATTCACACCCCACCTTTACAGAATGAATCCAAAAAGGTTAACATCATAACTCACCAATTTTAAAAACAATTTGATAACAGTCTCCAGAAATGTAACATGTAACCATGAAAATAAGCTGGCTTTCAGAGGGACAATGTCAGTTTAAAAGTTATGCTTGAAAGTCTTATTTAAACATCCAGTATATATATAGTATTGAATATTTATGAGTTTCTGAGAAAAAGGTATTGTTTTGTCCCTTAAGTGATTATTGAGAACCCCATGATTCCATATGCTCCCAACATACAGGAGATCCAAATCAGGATGCTTGTTTTTTTGGTCCCGAGCTCTCACGACAGCCAGCTGACTCGCACCAGAGCATAGGACCAAAAACCAGGAGATTCCTGGGTACAACCATAAGCCAAGAATGGCTTTCTGTAATTCCGGGATGTCCTGCTTAAATCGGGACGGGGTTCAGGGGTATGATCAGTTCAGGGTTATTCAAACCAACTGCCATAAACTCCAGCTGAATGAAACAGTCAAAGAATCAAGCACAGCATCTGTATTTCTCAGGCAGAAGTTGCAGGAATTTTAATATTATGCTAACTTATTTGTGATCCTGCAGTATCTATTCTCTTATCTATAATAGTTCATAGATCTATATAAAAAGAAATGTGCCCTAATGTGAAACCTGGATAGATTCCAAGCTACTTTGTCACACTAATATCATCTACTCTAAATAATCAAGGTGCCCCTTGGCCTTTCAATTCCCTTAAGCATACAGTACTTAAAAAGTGTAAGGTATAAAGTTTAACAGTTTTAGCTGGGAATATCTAATAAAGGAAGAAGGAAGGGCTATGAATTCTTTTCATATGGTTTATGCAGCAGACAACAGCATCACACATCATTTTAATCAACAGTATGCAGATGTAATCTCAGAGCCTTTGTCTATAATCTTTGAGATTTCTTGGAGAACAGGTGAGGTCCCTGCAAACTGGAGG